AAAGAAGCAATCTTTTGTAAATCGCGTAACATTTGAACCTCGGTTGAAGCTCTCGTTTCATCTATTAATTCTTGAGTGACTCCTCGCCTTGCCATCTCCCCTGCGTTAAAAATAATTTATGTAAATACATCATATTACTATTTGCACTATATGTCTTATTATCAACAAAATACTGTAGGGATAACGCTTGATGTCAATACGAATTATTAGTAATCTGCGAGTTTCGGGTTCAATCCCGATCCTCATTCTACGTATTCCTCGATAAGAAATGAAGAGATCTAGTTTGATGAGGAAAAATTAAGATCACTCAAAAGTAGTATTGAACTGTGGATTAAAAAGAATCAGAATTTTAAGGATTAAACTGCTTTGAGCAAAATTAGTAAAAAGAATAAGAGTATGAGAGCAGAAGGCACCTTAATTTTCACCATCTGGCGAGACATTACAAAATCATTAACGAAATATTATAATTTAATAGTCTATTACCTTCGATACAATCCAATGTTTTCTCATCTTCACAAATGTCGTATGGCATGTTGCCATCTGCATTAACAGCTAATAAATTCGCACCTCTGGCAATAAGGTATTTGACTAAATGCAAGTGACCACACGTAGCAGCAGCGTGTAATGGTGTCCATTTCTCACTATCTTCCGCATTCACGTTAGCACCAAATTCAATGAGTAACTTCATCATTTCCTCATTATCATCTATGCAACACTGATGCAGTGCTGTCAAACCATCTTCGTTCGTTGAGTCAGGATTCACACCCTTCTTCAAAAGTCTTCTTACTAGAAAGAGATAAACATTGACAATGTGGTAAGTCTCAGACATACAAAATACGTGTATACGTTCCAAACAATATGTGCACAAAATTTCTTACCTTCATCAATATCATTCCTCGCTGCAGCTTCTAACAACATAACACTATCGCTAAAGTATATATGACGTTTATTACTCGTATGCCTAGTTTGGTGTCGCAGCCATTCCTTCTCACGTTGCCTCCATACTTTTAACTGTTGAAGTCTACGATGACGTGCCAAGTGTAACCGTTCTTGCGTGGTCAGTCTTTCAACGTGTATCATCTCTGCCACTAACTCGGAGTGTTCCATTGTTATATGCTTATAATTTTTGCAGGTATATTTATCTGTTCATGCAAAAGAGAAACAAGAAAACATCACGAAACGTTAATATAACAGTTAGCATTTTATATACACATATATATAACGATTTTTTACGAATGTATCAAAAATAAAATAATTTGTTCTAGAATAAACGTCACAAATGCTTATAAGTCACACATTTGACTTTATCAACTATAGCATATATTAAGCTTTTTGCTTTATTAACATATTATTAACATATTTGAGAGAATAATCATAAAATTGAAAAAATAATGTAATTCCAGTGGTTTTACTTTTACTCCCACAAAGCCAAGATCATCTCATTTTCAGATCATTAAAAATTTTTTGTTAAAAACACTGAATATCATTCTGATATATTTTCACTTATTTCAATAACACATTTCAATAACGTAGCTCTTAACTGATCCCTGAATTATATTAGATTATATAGATGAATTATATCTAGAGGGAATGATAGCATATTTTATTGCAGATGTCCTCTCAAACCTATCAAGTATTTAAGTAAACGTATAATATTTGCACAAATGTTCGTGTCAAAAATACTGCTAAAAAAAGCTTTTTATGAATAGTAATGAGCAATGATTTACTTTAAAACTGTGACCCAATGTGTCCCTTTAAAACTCTTGACTGTATTTCTAAAAATACTTCCTAACAAGAAAAAGATTGATGATGCATTTATTTTGAGAATTTTGTATATAAAGAGATATCTTGTAGACACAGAATAATAATGTAATATTTTCAAAAATAAGTTATTGAAATGCTTCTATATATTTTTGCTTTGATAATGTAATGAAAATCTTTGTTAAGTATATACAGACTATATGTGTCTGTGACACATCTGCAATAAATTCTGTTCTTAATCTCAGATAATACATTACGTCATTAGATCAAGAATGTACATATTTAAACATTCTACAATCTCAGCATACAAAGCAGTTTTACATCTCAGAAACAGTTTATAAAAAAACCGGAAGCCTAGCTGCACATAAGTCTCAATAATCTCAGTTTCTATCAATGTAGATTAACTTTAATCTTGTTTCAACTTATTCTTCATCTTTTTCTAATTCTTAGAACTAGAGAGAAAAAGATAAAGAGTTAATTGCACCGAGATTAAACTACATTGGTAAAAACAGGCATAAACATCACGCTTGTCCTCCCTCAAAAGAAAGTCGCTACAGTCAAACGGGAAGAAATAAATGTCAAAGTTGTTTACGGATATAGAGATTAAAACGATGTAGGTTTTTCTTTAAAAAAAAAAAACCTATTAAGATAGAGGAGCATTTGATTCCCAATGCAAACTTCAATTCGAATCAATTGCAAGATTTCTAAGACAATCTAATGAGACGAAAAGTGCGTAAGAGACGTATAGAAAGATACTTGCTGATCGTGGATCGAGCCTGGCGCCTGATTGCATATTATTTCGCGCACAATCACCGTTGAAAGGTGGTCGGCAAAGTAATATTCCGTCTCGCCGGAATTCATCACCTTCCTCCTCGTGTCACCGCGTTCACGTACGGAGGTGATCGGAAACACGGTGGAGCACGTCGTCGAGGCAGGACTGACTTCCTGCCTATTACATCGCTCGGCTTTCGGAGTGTTTCGGAGGGCAACCGAAGCCGTTTGCGTGATCAAGGCCAGGACGCGAGGCGCGTATCGGCGTATCGCGCAGGATCTCACGGGAACGTGAGAAAGGCTCCGGGTAGAAAGAGGAGAGGGGAGAGGTATTTTAATTGTCGCGGGGGACTGACACGAGGATCAGCGTAATCGAACGATGCGCCGAAAATCGACAGAGCAGTATAGAAGCGCAGTTCTCTCTTACTCCTTATATATTTAAATCTCGTTTTTACTTACGAATGTAAACGCGTGGCTCGACACACGATGGTTGCGGTGTGTATAATCCACTTTCCTAATTCCTTCTCCCCCTTATTTCCTCGGTGATCTCGATTCGATCGTTGCAGAGGAATGTAACGAGCGACGACGGCGAGGACGAGGCGGTCGGACCGAGGACTCGGACTCGTACTCGGACGCGACGGCGGCGACGGCGGAGCGATTCATTCACGTCGCGCTTCGCGCCTACCGCGGTGTAATACTGTAATCTACGACATAATCCGCGAGCGAGCGAGCGCGCGCGTTAACGCCGTCTCCAGTCTCGCGGGACAAGATATTATGATCACTGTGGCCGGTGGCCGAAAAATACGCTCGCCTCGCGCGCGTAACGCGTTCCCCGTGCCTGCCAGCGCGTGCAGCCGCGGAAACGTCTACCTGTCGGTCGCCATTTTTAAACTACCTGCGAGAGATCGCGCCCGCGCACGCCTCGCCTCACCTGTTTCGGTCCTCGGCTAGTCTCGCCTGGCCTCGCCACGCCGCGCGACTGCCCTTCACCACCCTTTACCCGAGGATCGAGCGACCACGAGCGACTGGACTCGCGGCAGTCGCGGCTCACTTCAGCTCGCTCGAATCGTCAACGAACGAACGAGATGAAGGCGCCTGGCGCATGCTCGCCAGTCGCCGGCGATCGGCGAACACCAACGCGCGCCGCGATGCCGATCGGCTCAATACTCACGGCAGTCACGGCTGCGCCACTTCCGCCTCGCCCATGGAATAACGTTATTGCGTAACCGTTTTGCGTTATGCGCCAGCTGGTCGATAAACGGGGAGTCCTCTCGATGCTCTCACATCGTTTGGAATTCTCGGTCCGTACGAACGTGATCGACGAAGCGTGAGTCTGCCGCGCTCCGCTGATTTTCAAATTGGCTTAAATTCTTAGACCGTACTTTGAGCCCGGATTACATTACTGATTACGCATACGGCATTCGAGATTACGGATTATGAATTAGGACCATTTCGACGAATGTAGATTAACTTTAATCTCGAATTAATTCAATCTTTATCTTTTTCTGATTTTTTTAGAAACAGAAGAAGATAGGTAAAAAAAATATTAACAAATTAAATCGAGATTGCAGTTAATTTATATCGGTAGAAATGGAGATTATACTAGAGAGATTAAAAATTCAACTAGTCAGATAATTTCAATTTAAATCCATTTCGTTCTGATTAATTAAATTTTAATCTTCAATTCGCAATCTCCTCAATTTCGAATGCATAATGTGACACAAGCTTTAAGTTATCGTTTTTTTTTATCACTCACATATACATTTTTTAATTACGTACGTATGACAAACGTTTTCCTATTACGAGAAATTATCACTGTCACATGTGCATGACATCAACGTCGCAGAAATGTATTGTCATATCTATCGTGCAGATAATGCGATAGTCCCTTTTTTTCCTCGCAACTACATTCCCATATAAAATGCAACGAATCAAATGGGATTTAAATCGTATTAAAAACACTTAAATTCTTCATTAAATTTTTCATCACGTAATTTTAATTAGTACAATAAATTTGGTTAGTATAACATGAAAAAATAAGAAAGTTTTTATCAATTAGTCATATTTATCAGCACAAATTGAATGGTTAATACATACCAAAGTATTTTTTTCTCTCAGTGTAGTTGGATTAAAAATAAAAATTAAATTACATTAATAGAAACCGGCATTAAACACACATTTTTACATCAATCTGTTCACAGGAAGGACGTCTTTAATGTGCATTACGTCGGAATGTTAAGAATGACAATGCCGACTGAGAGACGCGCGTTAATTACATAATTGTTTCGCGATTCAAGTTTCGCAATATAATCCATGTATTCGAAATCGAAGTTTATGTTAATAGAAAAAAAAAGAAAAAAAAATACAAGTCTTCCATTTGTATAAATTAAGATCGATTCGTACGTCTGAAGACGTGCGCCCTCATCATCGATCATGCGCGTGCTCAGATGACTCATCCGCGGATTTACCGTCATTCCTGGCCGTGACACTGTACGATCGCGCTCGATATTCGCCTCATCGTTGCATACGAAAGTGATCTTGATCTCGCGGTCGCGAGCAGATAAGAACGAATCTTATCATTCGCGACGGCGACGGCACGGTACCGTTTACCACCTGTCTCCATTCGCGGTACCCTGGGTACCGCGTGGTACCAATCCACGCCGCGAACGACGACCTTGGACGTCGCCCCGCCGAGCTTGATCAACTTCGTCTAATCTCATCGACGCGACGTCGGTCAACATCCGGAATCCGGACATTCCGGACGTCCACGTGCATTGTTTTACCGATATGGAAGGACGCGGTGGTGGCGCCGGCAGTGGGGCGCATCTCGCGGTTATTGCTGGCATTTTTGCGACCAGTGGTAGTCTTCTTGGCAAGCTCGCCGGTGGCGCTGATGCATCGTCATTGGTGAGTTGGCGGCCGATTCGAATCGTTGGTAAACAGGGCGAAATATGTAATTTTTATGAGTCAGCGACTTTTTTTATTTTTCTTTTTTTTTTGAGAGAGAGATATGGAGACGTTACGAGGCATTGAGTAGGTGCACTCCAGCGTAGAGCGCGAAATTTTAATAGGCAGCGTTACTATTGTATCCTTAAGGGATTTAGAATATTTTGAATTTGTACAACGTACTTATAGCAATGTATACTAATACGCTTTTTCTATGCAAAGTATTATATAATAAAAATATAAAAAACAAAAATTTATCGAGAAATGTTTAACATAAATGAACGAAGAAGGCCATATATTTTATCAAAACAGGTCTTAATTGGTGTATAAATATAACGATATATTTGTTTAAACTGGAAATGATAAAGTTCACATAAAAGTGTAGGTAGCAAGATCACTTTCACCGAATATCACTTTTTTCATTCATTTGTATTGATGATAATAAGAAATATATTTATATATATATATATAAAACTGTTTTTTAACTATATTTATGTTGTAATAATAATAATAACTTTAATAACTTTTGTATGCATTTACAAATTGAACAATATTTGAACAATATTTAAACAATATTTGAAATTACAAGAAAAGGAAACAAGAAAAAATACATGCATCTAAATTGATAAATACGTGAAAATGACGAGTAATTAAACAGTAAGAAATTAAAAATAGATCAAACGTTAGAAATTTAACATTAAAACTAATAATAAAAATGTAAAGGTATAAAATATAATGTTTACATGTTTACTTTCTTTTTGCGGTAGTCATCGTTGTTTCTAAAAGGAATACTTCTCATCTTTATGATCGTGTGCAACACCATAGGATGTACGTTTTTTGTCAAAGCGCTTCATGCTAGCGGATCTTCTTTGCCGATAACGATCGCCAGTGCAGCCACGAACTATATTTGTTCGGTGAGTTGTTAAATCTTATAATTAATCTCATAAATAATATTTTTATTAGATAGCACGGTTTAACGCGATCTCCCTCTCGTGATTTTAATCTCAGGTTAAATTCTTTAATGAACTTAAACTTGATTTAACGAAAATCCCATGGCATCAGTAATTATTTTGAAGTAATAAGTAAAGGAAAAAAGAAGCTTTTTGAAAACTAAATTTTAGGAGACTTCGCACAAATGCCATGATTAATATCACTTCTCAATTGAAGTTTCAAAGATCCTATCCCAATTTTATAATTCCCAATCATTATAATGATATAAAATTATAAATGAAATTATAAATATTATACTATTTATGACCTTGTATAAAAAAAAAGTTCGATACTTTAAATTTGAAAACTTATCATTGAAAGAGATGCAATAATTTTTATTTAGAAAACCGTAAATCAATGATATAATAATAATATTCTTAAATTAAATTTTAATAGAATTCTATTTCGAAATTTTAATTCGTGATTTATAAAAATAATGAGATTGAAAATTAGAAAGTTACTATAAAAAGCCTTTTTCTAAAGAAAAAGTCTCCTTCAAATTGGAGAATTCATCACCAATAAAATTAAGATCGCGACAGGACGATCATCCATCGTGCTTATCGTAGAAAGAAATGAGATCGTCGTGAAACATCTGGCAAGATATATTTTCGAGAAAGTTTTAACATTGGTAATGGAATAAAATGAAGTAGGGAAATAATCTGCCGAAGGACATTTGTCGGTAGCAATTATTTGTCTATAACCGGTGATTTGATATACTTCCGAGAGTCGGTTCGCAAAGAGTGAAAGTTGTTTCGCAAACTAGACGCAATTCCGCGAGTGTGTACAATGCGGTCATAGCAATTATATGCGCACAGGTACATGGCGATTGAACGAGAATTGTATGATATGATACACGCGCTATTGAAATACAATCTCGATAGTAGTATATTACACACTGGGAAATGCACTGCGCCAGAATTATTAATAGAATAATAGAAATAATGACGTTTGCCATTTCGCGAATATTTCTATTCTCTCCTTTTCTGAACGTGAAATATTAGCAAGACTTCGTCTCGTTAGTCTGATTAAAAATAATCAGAGATGTAGAAATATAATCGTTTTACACGTCACGACAGAATCCTTTTGTAATTCTCCGTGAAAATTGATTTAATCCGTTCGCGCGATAGCTATAAGTAGAATGATATGTATACATATATATCGATTACGTCGGCGTGAAATTAAGTATTTATGAGATTAAGTTTGGATTTGCGAGGATATATACAGATGTACTTTTAAACTTAAGAACGTCATCAATTGGTGAACCTCAAGAAATAAAAATACAGTTATATCCATACCTATAGTTTGTCCTATATATTACCTTATACATAAAACGTGGCTTGCTGACACACACATTGATCTCCAATATTTTATATTTCTTTCGTAGGTAATTTTTAAGTGCGAAAACAACAGAAGACTTTCTTTTTGCACCATGAATCTATAATTTGGTGCAATAGTAATGATGAAAAAAATTTGGTCAAAATTAGTGAGAAACATACGTATAATACAAATATTTCATATAAATATGAAATATATTTTTATAACATTTTTAATGTTTTTTATAATTTATACCTGCCACGTTTCTCTTACGCTTATTTTATTTTATTTTTTTTTCATTTATACTCGCGAAAGTTGAAATTTAAGTGTATTATTTCAAGCACAGTTTAATTGTGAATTTTCATAATTTAATTGTGAAAATATTAAAAGTCTCGATCACATCGTTATGAAATGCTAATTTTATAAATATCCTTCTCGAAGGCGTTCGTAGGCTACATCGTATTTGATGAATCCACTTCATTGACCTGGTGGTGCGGAACTTCCTTGGTACTTCTCGGCTTGATGTTGATCTGCAATGTTTCCGCTGAAAAAAGCGTATCCACCATCGAGGAAAAATTGAAACATCAATAGCTGGCGATGGACGCTTTTATATTCTGAGCAAAAGCGATTGCGGTGATGTCACAACGGTACGATTATTTCCATTTTTGTATTATTGACATCGACAGATATATTTATTATGTCTTTACGTCGGAAATATATTGTATTATTTATGAAAGATAAAAATGAATTTCAATGTATAAAATGAAGGTGTCAAAGAGTAGGTTGATAGATTGTTATTTGTTACGGATGTTATTAAGTATTATATTTATATGTATGTGAAGTAGATATATTCTTATATATTCTTATTGTAAATAAAATATTCTATGTTTCGATTTTTTTTTCTATATAATAATTTTTTTCTAATAAATAGCAGTTATAATTTTGAAGCGTATCGACGTAATTGCCCGAATACACAAGATGACGTACTAAAATGTGCATGTACACACGTAATGTATTATTAGATCGATCACCGAACGCAGCAGTGCGAAATTCACTCGGGAGGGTAAAAATAATCTATCAGGCTTAAAGAGAATTGTTTTGCATTCGCCTCCTGTCCTAAAATTATTTCAAAGACATCAATCAAAAAACCATCTTCAAAAACCTCGAGAATGAAACGCGAGAATATGATAGATTATTATTTTTTACCGTAGTATAAGAATAATATTTTAGATTTCTTAAAATATTCGCTTTATGGGATCGACCTATTTTTGTATTTCTGTATGCGGATTGGGGTAGATTTTATGCCGAGTTTAAAATGGATTTCGAAAATCCACGTCAAGCTGTATCTGTTTTAGCGAAGCGGATATTTATGTCTACAATAACGATGAGTGAAATGACGATGACGAGGAATGGACGACGAGGTGAATATTTCTCCTGTTCCTCCCTTAAATCCTGCTAACATGATGCCTTTCCTTGTTCGAGCCGTCAAGTATAATGTTTCACATTGACGCATTAACGAGGTGAAATTAGCGCGGAGAGCAAATTATACATCGTTATTATTACGTTACGCCCGCGGTGGCGGTCTCGACGTCGATATAACGCGTAATGAAGACGGAGATGTATTTATGTCCCGGGCTGTAAATATATTTACTACGAATATACGGCGAATGAATATACGGCAACTGATAGCGGGCTATAACCGGACGCTGGACCAATCGATCCCTGTTGACATTAATTCGCCCGCAGGTATCGAGATAGTTATCAGAATGATATCACGCGCGCGCATCAATTTCGACGCAAAATTCAGAGCCATTTGGCTTTTTCGTGTGCAACATGGTCTCATTGTCGTGATTTCCAACATTCTGTTCGAAATTACGTTGGAACAAGTGAATATTGCGTTTTATCATCATTTAGCAGACAGGATAAATATTGAATAAATATCGGGTAAAAGGGAACAAATATTGGTTTATATATCAATAAGAGAATACGTTATTATGGATGGAAACGTTATTATTGTAATTGCAATTGTATAAATATGAGGAAATTGTAAGAGGAGAAATTACATTATTATCTTATTTAATGGGAATGCTTGAAATATTTCTCGCTTTTGCTCGCTTTCAACGCCACCTCCTCGCTTTTTCGGGGTGCACCACTAACAGCGGGAAGAATGCGTTTCGATAGAATATGCGAGCTCATTCAGGATTGCGTCGTACCCTATACAAGTAT